CTTCCTCTTTTTGCCTTCTTTTTCCTTCTTGACCTTTTCCCCTGACTCTCTAATTCTCTTGCACAAATTTATCCTCAGTAACAACAACTAATTTCATCTTCTTATTCTTCAATTTTAGAGAGGACTCAGAGGTCCTCTGTTGCTCTGCTGGAATTTGTTGGGTGAAAACATTTGTCAAGTCAGAGGGGTTGTCTTTCTTTTTAACTTTTTTGAGGCTCTTCATATTTTCAATACTCTTACATTTGGTTGGGCCTCCTGGAAAGTCATAAATTTCTTTAGATAGGCCTTCTTATTTTGTGCTCTGTTTATGGCATATTAGGACCTGTGCACATCATTCTTAATCACAACATTTGTGGATCTTCCTTATTATGGCATATTTTCTATCAATTGTTCTAGTGCTTCTACTGTTATCCTATCATCTTGATTTGCACTATCCTTTTTTCCTTGTACCTTCACCATGTCTTCATGAGTCTATTCATCATCATATTCCTCTTTTTCAGTAGTCCCTTATTTTTCTTCTTAAACTTGTTATGGTTCTGCTTCACCGTCTTATTCTAGTTGTTCCTTGTTCAACTTATTAATTACTTTTTTCACAAGCTCTCCAAGTTCTTCATTGTATTCTTCTTCTATATCACAAGCTTCGTCATCTTTCTCATATATCTTGTCCTCCACTTATTCCTTTTCTTGCTTAACTTGTTTTATCCATTTGTTCATTTCCTCATTTTCTTCAGCATAACTTTGAGCAATTCCTTCGACCAACACTTCTTCTTCATCTTTTTCTTCAGCAAGTTCATTTATATCAAAAAATTTAGGAGTCTTCTTTTTTGTCACGTTTTCTTTTTTAGCTAGAGAGACTAATGTCTTCACCATATTTTTAGATTTCTTGGTACTCAATGTAGTGGAAACCAGTGGGGGTGAGATAGAAATCACCTTTGGTGCAATAGTATTTTTGGCGAAAGATGTGGAGTTATATGCTTGCAGGTACAATGATCTCAATAATCAGTTAACATGTATGGTTTTGATGATGACAATAATTTGAAGTGAAATCTTCATATGATGTGATGATCAAGTAGTTGTGCTTGGAGATCAAGATGTCAAATTCAATTTCTTTAGGAAAACACCTAGTGTTAGGTGGCATTCGGTGGAATATCTGATGATACCAATCAAGCAATCTCTCTAATGATGGTATCTATCAAGAAGCACTAATATGGAAAACCCATTTAACAATGATTGGAAAATACATATAATCATGTGGATCCATATGTTGTTGTGTAGAGTGTAGTTGTATATGCGACACTTATAATCATGGTCCAATAATTGTTGTGGTAAAATGTATATCACAACGGTTGACGTAAACAACCATTGTAATAATTATAGTAGCTTGGGTTTGATACCCAGCTACAACCAAAATTAAAGTTCATAAAAAATAGCATCTCACCACGGTTAAATGTTTCAACTGTTGTGGTATATGTAAGAGTTTATTATAAAATATGAGATTGCTTGTTTTTCCCTGCCCCTCATTAACCATATACACTCATTCAAATAGATTTTTGAGACAATAATCAGAAAAATTAAGTTATTCTTGAAAAACAACTTAAGAGATCCAATATTTTTCAAATTGCAAGCATCTTGTAAATCATGATTTCCTCTTTTAGCCTATAGGATTTGATTCAATCCCAAATTCTTCAAAGTAATGTTGATAAATGGATGCCAGACTGAGTCTTTCACGTAAAATTTGATTTCCTCTTCTTTTCTACTTTATTTTTCAAACACCAAAATTTGTATGAAAGATCCAGGCTGACACCCATTTATCAATACTGTTTTGAAGAATTTGTGATATTGAATGAAATTCTATACGCTAAAGAGGGAATTATGATTTACAAAATGCATGCAATTCGGAAAAAAATATTGGATCGTCTAAGTTGATTTTCAAGAGTAATTTAATTTTTTAAATTATTATCTTAAAAATCTTTTTAAATGGATGCAAGTTCAATGAGGGGTTAGTGAAACAAGTAATCTCATATTATATAACAAACTCACTAACAATATTTATCAACAAAACATCAAATTAATTTACATAGATTAGGATAACTGAACAACTAACCATTTCTTGAAGTTTTAAGTGATAAGTAAAGAATCATAAACCGTTGCTAGCTGCACATGAAAAACCATTTATTAACTCATATTATACGCTTGCTACCACCATCATCATCATTACCATATGAAGTTCATCTAGTTTAAGAAGGTAGGAAGAAAAATAATAAGGTGGATGAAGTTAACACAATAGCTTCATACTTCTTATATTTCTTTTCACACCATCTAAAACTAGATGAAGTTTGATGTTATTGTTGTTTCTTCATTCATATTTCTTGAGTCCTACAAACATCATGAAAATTATCAACAATGTGAAACCGCAAACTTATTTGTCAACAACACAGCATGCAAAAAAACATATAACAACGTACAATAATAAAAGAGCCATAAACTATCTAACAAGAAGAAATTCATAGGAAAACCAAGTGAAACATAACAACAACATACACAAAAATGAGAGAATAAGTAAAAAGAAGAATATCTTTATGTAAGAAGAACAAGATTGACGGCTATATTGTAGAATATAAATGCTAATGATGAAGAAGAGAAAAAATGGGTTCTAGGGTTTTGTTGTGATAGGTACGGCGTTACTGTCAAAGAGTGAGAGTTAATTCGCTTATACATAAATATACTCACAACGGTTGAAGTTTCCAACTGTGGTCGTAACCCTTTATTTTATATACAAAAATAAATGAAATAAAAAAGACGTGTCTTAACGTTAAATGAATAATATATTTGAGGGCACTGAGTTTCGAATTCAAGAAAGCCTGAATTTTATAACTACGGTTATGGTTGCAACCCTTATTATATGTTAACAATTTTTAATGAAAAAATAAAATAAAATGTTAACGCCCTGGGTTTAGAGATGTCACCACAGTGTTGGTAGAACCGTCGTGAATTAGGTGTTGTTGTTTGTGCGTTTTATAGTAGTGAATCTTCATCATATAGTGGTCAAATCAAGTCTAAGATGAAGTGTTGAATCATGAATGTATCAAGCAAGGTATTTTGGATCATCATAGTTGTGAAAGAGAAGAAGTGTGAAAGCTCGTATTATCCATATTAAGTAGTTTGTGCCTATAAAGTTGTAATATTAACTCTTGAATTACTAAGACAAATCACACATACTTTTGAATGATTGAAATGACCTCTCTAAAATTTGTGTAAATCATTTTTACTAGATTTGTAATTTAATTTTAAGATTATTTAAATTTATTTTAAAAAATGGTAACTATTTTTAAATAATTTAATTAAAAAGAAATGACATGGATGTTTATTGGTGACATTAATTCATTTTTGTCCAATTTATTCTAGGCTCATCAATGCCAAATACTAAAAAAATGATGGGGATAAAAAAAAAACTCCCAACATACTCAAAAATAATGGTGGACTATATATTCTCATTTGTTAAATAGGAGATGAAAGAAACTGACTCTAATTTTATGACAGGAGACTAAAACCTTATTGAAACTAAAATAAAAAGATCAAAATCATATATTTAATATATTTAAATATTTTAAATTTTATATTTGTTACAAAGGCTTAATAAATTTTAAATTGCTTACACACCCTTTATATTGCATAAAACTACACTTCCTATGACTATATTTTTAAACTAACAATTTTTTTTAAACTTTGACCACTATTATAAATAAAATTAATTATTTTTAAACTATTTAATAGTAGTACTCATAATATATCATTTATTTAGTTTTAAAATGTTTAATTTAGATAATTGAGATGGCTTTTTATTAAGCATCAATAAAGATATATCAATAAATTTTATTTTTGTTTTAATAGAATTACAAAATTATTTATATTTAACTAGTTCAGTAAAATTAGTTATTTTTATTTAGGAATATGTTTTATCGTTCTCTTAAATATCTCATATTTCTTTTAGTTTTTTTAAAAATTTTCTTTAAAGAATGATCTTGTTAAAACTTTTAATTTTAACTTTTGATCTCTTCTGTAATTTAACGATGATTTTTATAATTTAATGACAGAATTAATAATAATTTTAGCGACTGAATTAGTGACAATTTTAGCGACGGTATTAAAATAAGAGACTAAAAATTAAAATTAAAACTTTTAAAAGAATTATTCTTAAAAAAAATTGTTAGAAGAATAAAAGTCAAAATATGAGATATTTACAAGTAACAAATTTAACTATTTTATTTATAATACTGATGGAAGGGAGCACATGGATACCAATCGTTGAGATTGACAAACGTTGACATTTATCCTCTATTAGTACGTATAAATTAATGTCATAATTATACCTGGTTTGACATAATGCCATTACCATATTATATAGTACATTGTTTGACAACAACCCTGTAATATGTCTAATGTCAATTATATATATATATATATATATATATATATAGAGAGAGAGAGAGAGAGACATTTTTCGTATATTACGTCTAATTTCACACTTGATACATAGTTTAAAACCATTTTAGATGCCTTCCCTTTTAATTCATTTCACTATATGCTTAGCTCTTTACTTTACATGCAATTTGATACATATTGCGGAACAACTTAAAGAATGCGAATAAATTAAGAAACCAATGAGCCATATTACACTCTTAATCTTAGCATGCATACATCGAATGAAGACCCAATAATGACAATATTTCACACAAGTCCAGAACTCTAAATACATATAATGGATGGGGGAGGGACTGCAAGAATATTAAAATCAATATATTATATATATATATACACAACCACCATTTTAGGCTCATTTTGATTGCAATGATATAACAAATATTATCAAATAACTGTTGCCAAATAAAACTGAGGCTGTTCTTTCCCTTGATAAATTTTTGTTCCATTATATTAATTTTTGAAGAGAAAAATAGGACTAGCAAATAAAGATGCCATTCTGCAAGGCATGAGCAGATTCTCTATGCTGCTTCGGCAAATCCAACTCTGAGTTTACCATAATCAAAGACGGTATGATAGCGCCCCATGAAGATATCTCCAAGGATCCTGCATTTATGCAGATTCCATTAAGTGATTATTATTAAATCAAATGCATCAAAATGAAAGGGTAAATGTCATAGCATATTAAAAGCTTGATGTACCAAAGTGGGCCACGAGGAGGAGGAACATCCAAAGCAGTAAAGCCACTAATGCATTGGGCTTGAGGACCTTCACCCACCTTCAGTATGTACTGAAGAAAACAAATGAAAAATTGGACCAGGGAAACAGAAAACATGGAACAATTTCATGCATAAAAAATTAACTCAATTCATAAAGCAATAAATCCAAGGGCAGGCATTAACCCTTGCAAAAGCAAATATTTAAATTTGATATTATACCTCTTGTGGGGCAAGGTCAAACGTTTTTCCACCAATGGTGAAGGAAACATTAGGCATGGAAGGGATCTTTGCACAATCAACAGATGATTGTCCCATTGGGTTAGGCACTTTATCACAAAGCTGCAATATCATTCATGAGATTATAGTTCAGAGGGGAAAGTAGGATTTTAGAACACATAACAAAATAAAAACTAAATTACCGCGTTGGCGTAGTTTATTATCTGCTCTTCCGTTTGATTCTGCTTCAGCTGGCTCTGCATCCAAACGATAGCCATTTCGCATACAGAACATGTAGCATCTTGATGACCGCCAGATGATATTCTATCAGTCTGTGGCACAACACTCTGGATACCCATACTAAAGGAAAAATTGAAAGATTTCAATAAAAGAGCAATCACAGTAGTACACTAGAATTATGTGGCACTGACACTTCAATTTAAATGCATGTCTAGTGTTTGACATGTCTTGGTGTTGTTGGACACTGACACCATACCATGCAGTTTCATTCAATCACTTCTATTCTTTCAAATTAGTGCTGTTTATGTCAATGTTTCATAGCATTGATACAGTACGGTCTTTAAGTTAATAGCAAAATCTTTGTGGCTTACCTAACACCACGAGTCCCATCAAACGTGCACAACCCAATTTGGGAGCATATCTTCTTTGGCTGTGTCTGCAAGGGCCAAATGAAAACCATGAGAAAATTCATTCTGAATAAGACCAATCACTCAACAGTCAACACTCATGACCATGGTCAAGAATATAACCAACCAAACTATTATGACAAGAACAAATTATTACTTACTTCAGCCAAGAGCAATTGCAAAATTGTTTGTCCATATTGATCAACAACATTCCTGCATTCTTGACTGTAAACTCCAGATGCTCCAATAGCTTGATTTATCATAGTAACTACAGTCTAAACAAGCAAACTAAGCATTAGTTCATAGAAATAAGCTACTCAAAGGTTCAATGACAAAAGCACTATCAATTTTTTCGAGGTCATGACAAAAGCATCCTACATCAACAAGCATTTATTCATACCTTTGGTCCTGCCAACAAAGAAGTCCCTGAGTCTGCAATTGCTGAACAGTCTTTAGCACAATATCCTGGATGGCAATATTATGAAGTCAGTATCAATGAATAAAAACCATGGAACATCTAGCAAAGTGCTACAAATATCATGTCTTTGAAGAAATATCCAAGTATTTACCAGTGGGTTTTCCATCAATAAGCACATCTCCCATGTCAAACTGTCCAGAAAATACAAACGCACTTAACAAACACAAATATTATAAAAGATCCAGTATAAGGATAGCATAATGAACAAACATGTTAAAAGCCTAGCGAACCTGCCAATATCCTTTTCGTGTCACAGGCACGTAAGTATGTTTTCCCTTGAAGTGATCAGGATCAACACCACCGAAAACAATCTCACCTCCTTCCTCTTCTTTGGGATTACGATTGAGCCAAAATGAAAATACAGGATCCTTCACAAGACCTTGTTCAACCATATTGTACCTGTGGCAGGGAAACACCTCTCCTAATGATATAGAGATCCAAAAAATAATAACAAAATACTAAATGAATGTTTTAATGTGCACAGATACCATATTGGGACAGAATTTCCAACTGATATCTCTTGAAATCCAAGTCCAAGCAAACCATCAAACTTAGCCGCCACAAATGTAATCCCAGGTTCTCTGGTTGTTTCAATAAATTCCTGAAGGGAATAAAAACAATGCTCATATCAATTGATTGGTCAACATCTTATCAGTCTGAAGCAAACACAATATGTAACAAGAATCAACATTACCTGATCTTTTACAACAATATCACCAACTTTTATATTGTCATAGCTAAAGAAACCAGAAATTGCTCCAGTACCATACTGAATTGCAGCAGAAGTCCCTAAATAACAAGACAAACTCTCACATCAAAACTAAAAAATCAACAAGAAACAAAGAAATAAACAGATATGACTTAAGACAAACCATTTGGCTTGTAAGTACTTGATTGGCTAGACTTGTACTTGGCATGGAATAAGCATGCAAGCTGCACCAACATGCAAAAACACCAATCAGAATAGAAATAAAATAAACACATAAACCAGATACATATTCATCACATGGATTAGACAAATAGAACTCACCGAGAAATAACATTTAACCGACGGAACCCATGTATTCGAGCTACCAGTATCAAAAATCACCGTAAACTTCTGAGGAGGAGTACCAATGGAAATCTCCCCGTAGTACTGAGCATCCAAATAATTCTTCAACACAACAACATCGAATTCCTCAGTTCCTTCAAGAATATTTTTAGACAATAAAGCTTCACCACCTTTCAACCCCAAGAAATCTTTGGGTCCCAATTTCACCTTTCTCAAACCAATCCTACGCAACCCCTCATTTGGCACACAAGAAACAAAACAAAACAAGAGGGTCCACACACACAAACATAACGTCACCACATTCACCTTGTTTCCCATTTTCACCAGTTCTTCCAAATTCCAAAATTCAACCTATAACAAAATTTCAAAATCATAATCACAAATTAAAAAATAAATAAAAAACCTAATCAATGCACAATCTTAAATGAAAATATGTGACATAATGTCAATAAGCGATTTATCTAGCAATCATAATCATAATCAAATAAAAACCGTAAAACCTACAAATGCATTAACAATTGAGCAATGCATGCATTAATAGTAAAGACGATGGAAGCGATTATGAAGAAAAAAGCGATTACCGAGATTGGAATGTGGAAGAGGAATCGAAATGAGAATGGAAAATTGAGGAGGAAATGTGATGAATGCGAGAATTTAAACCCTCAATTCGAAACCCAAGATGATGCAAAAGCGGAAAAAAACTAACTGATTGGGGTTGGCAATGTAGTGGGGCCAGCTAAACTGGTATTCTTGTATTGTGGGTCCGTTTGTTTATGACCGTTGATTTGAGATAACGACGATTGTAACGAAGGAGAGGCGTTGATTTGATGAAGGAAGGGTTTCATGTGATGTAACTGACAAGGTTACGTGCGTGATAAGTATAAGGGGAATGCGTTCTTCGTTATAACCGTTTAGCACGCGACACAACACATTCATTCTCCCGATGACGTAAGCTCCATAATCTCTTCTAATAATCCAACGCGTTAATGCTTTCGTTTTCTTGTTTTGTTTTGTGTTATTTCATTAATTCAGTTCTTTTGTTGAAGAAATTCGGTATTATTATTATTTAAGTTAAATATGTAGTAATTGATTTGTATAAATATATTACTTTTTAGATTTAAATTATTTTTATACTGTTATTCAATAAAAATATATCATTCTATTATGTTATATAAATAATTTAAAATTTTTTATCTGATTTAGTGGAATAAATTATCATTATTGATTGACAATATAAAATTAATTTACGTTTTCGATGCATCATCTATTTTCTTTAGTTTTTAAAATTTTTTGTTACATTTTGACATTTTCAAGGCTTCATATGCAAGATCTTCATTTTCTTTCTCTTTTCTTTGAAGTTGTTTTAGTTCTGACAATCAACAACTACAAGAAATCACTACAATAAGTTCAAAAAATTATTCAACCTAAAACTTGCACAAGCTGTTCACGATGTTTGTAACATTCATATGAGTTAACTTCTTATCTCATGCGTCAAATGAGATTGAATAACAATTTTCATATCAAAAGATATCAATTAGGTCTTGAAATGTTCAAACACAATCTTCACGGTCGTATAATATGGTCAAAGGGATCCACACCTCACACGGTAGTTAGCTTGCGAGCCAAGTTATAGTGAATAATGGAAATCAATTGGTAAATGGGGTTTAACCTCCTTAGAAAACGGTTTCTACGAGTTTTTGTACCACTCCGATTTTATTTAATTGTTTGTTATGATTTAATTATGTGGTGTTATGCATTTATATGCGTTAATAGAAGTTTTGATGTGTTGTGATACCCTTAGTATGGGGTAGTTACCTTAGAAATATAGAAATTAAGGTGTTTGAGGTGTGTGAGCAATAGTGTAGAATGAGGGGTGTTGTGAGTAACTAATTATTAATATTAGTTAATGATTTTTTTATTTAAATAATTTAGTTGGAATTATTTAGATTTAAGAATAATTATTTATAACTATTTTATTAATTAAGATAAGTAATAGGAGTATGACAAGGGCATTATGGTAAGTTAGATGTTATAAGTGAGGTTAAGAAGGAAAAATGGGGTTTTTGTGTTCTCATTCATAGTAATCGTGAAAAACAGGGAGAAGTAGAAATCAGGGAAAAGGCCTTAGAGAGACCTTCAATCCAAAGGTAAGGGTGAGGTTCCAACTTTCTAAGGGATAGTGTAATTATAGGTATGTGAGATTTTGATTGTATGATTTTTGTGTATGTTTGTTCATGAATTGGTAGTTTTTGTATGTTGAATTTAAGTGATGCAATTCTGAGTACAATTGCAATGGTTTTGACTAAATTGATGTGTTAATTTGAATAGAAGTGATATGTATTATGTGGATTGAAATTTGTAAGATTTGACATGTTTTATAATGTCACAAAACTGAATTTTTGGGTGAAAAATGAAAATTTTCGTAACAGACAAAAAATTGTAGGTTTTTGGCTCTGCAACAGTTGGATACCCGGGTACCCAGGTATGGTAACCCGTTATCCACTGAAACATTATTCGGGATTTTCAAAATTGTATGTGGTAACCGGTTACCATAATTGGGTACCCGGATATCCTACTGAAACTGGCAGATTTTTGGAAAACTTTGAAAATTCATAACTTTGTGCTCGGGTGTTTGTTTGATGCACCGTTTGAATCGTTGGAAAGTTGAGAACATTATCTATCCTATAAAAATGATTCCAAAAATAGTAGATAATTATTTTATGGGGTTAAGTAATTTTATGTGAATTTCTAATTGTATGCATTAATGCGATTATTCAGATTTATTGTGTGTGATGATGTTTAATGGAGTACATGATAATTATATGTATACATGCTTAGCAAATTGTGATGCTATGATGCTATGTTGTGATATGGTGTTATTGTTATTGAATATAACATGTTGAATTGATATCATGCTTTTGTGAATTGTATTGCCATAATGTGGTTTCGTTGGAAGTATGCAAGTTTGTTGTTATTTGTTGATATATTGTTGTATTGTTATTGCTGCTTCTTGAGCAGGTGTTGTTGCATGGTGGCCTGTAATGGCGTGTCACATTGATGGATGTAGATATCAATGTGTGTTGTGTTGCATGGTTGAGTCGCATGCATTCATGTTATGTTGTTGTTGTCGTTGGCTCTAATCCTAGATGGAGTGAATATGAGCGAGGTGAATGCAATTATTCACGTTATTGTTGGCTTTGATCCTAGATGGAGTGGATCAGTAGAAAAGTGAACCAAATTGTTCACAAAATGGTGACTCCGATCCTAGATGGAGTGGATTCGGTAGTGATCTCGGTACCGCATGCATGGAGTCAATGTTGTGTCACATTGCATGTTTTGTTGTTGGCATAATATTGTGATGTGTGGTTGTTTACGATTATTAATTCTGAATATGATGCAATGATGTTATAAATAAATTTAATAACTATGTATGATTTATTTTCGTATATTTATGATTATATTGTTCTTTATATTGTTGTGATATCTCACTCGTTTTGTTTGAATGTTGCCTCTATATGGGTATCATGCAGATAACTACGAGTAGTACGAGTTACAAAGTTCGAAGAGGTCGCTCTTCAGTTTTATTTAGAGACGGCGTTATGCTCTGATACATAACACTGGGTTGAGGGATAAACGCTTGATTTACTTTGTTTTGTTTTTGGTGATTCTTGTTGGAGTATTTTAAACTCCGAAATATTTGAATTATGATTCATAATTGTTTTAAAGTTAATTTGGTGAACTTGAAATATTTCCTGCTGCGTAATAAAGTTGATTTTTGAGACTATGACAATGTGTTTATTCCAAAAAGGTGTTATGTATCCATTTATTTTGAGAAAATTGTGTTTGATTGAGATGATGTAGCATCCTAAATGCATAGAAAGAAAAAGATTACTATGATTCTATTATTATTAATCGTTGGGGAATTTAGGTTGTTACAATTGGTATCAGAGCTAGTCGGTCTGTTCTGCTAAGTTATTGAGTCTGTAGTGTGACAGTGGAATATTGTCATTGTTTTGTTCCTTGGTACGCAACATGTGTGTGAAACATTGTTGGTACTTTCTTGTTGTTCTAATCACTTGTTTGCATGAGTAGAATTGAAATAAGTAGGAGATAAGTTTGTACTTCTCTGAGATGGTTCATGTGTGAACAGTTGGTTCAGTGTGTCGTGAATCTCATAAGTGCAAAGATTGACGAAGCCGTGTTATTTCCAAAATTCATAGGAAGTACGAATTCGGGATTTAAGTCTAACGGTCAGATGAAGTGTTCTTGAAGGGGAATGATCAGGTACTCCTGTTTTTTCACATCTCTAGAAGTGGAGGGAAATGTTATGGCTAATGATGTGCCTGTTGTGGGTGAGTCTTGATGTTCTCCCGAGATAATTTCGACTTGTCGTTAAAGCGAAATGTTGGATAACTTGATGTTAGCCTTGGGGTGAACTATCTGGAATTAAACCAAGTGATTACGAAGTGTTTTGGTGAATCGATGTAGATTCTCATGCCTGAAGGTTGTGAGGATTAAGGTTCTTGTTTATTGGTCAAGTAGAGTTGCCTCCGAGGGAAAAAGAGAATTGTTAAAGGTTGCTTCTCAGAGGATATAGAGCAGTGTGAAGACTTGTGATATGCAAGAGCTGTGTAATTTCTTAATGATCCACTAAGGACATTAATTAAGCAAGTAGAATAGCTCTTGGAAGATGAAGCTCAGGTGATTGTAATGTTTCAGCAAATGTCAGTTGATCGTGAAGTTGTTAGTATTGAGTTACTATTGTGTATGATGTTGACGTTTTGAATGGTGATATAGTGATGATGTACTGTAAATGTTGTTTTTGGAGTCAGATAAGTAATTGTTGGATGTTGTTAATGCTTTTGGGTGATTGTGAATTGCGAGTCAGAATCAAAACTCAAAGATACTAGTAGTTTTGTGAGAAGAATCTGAGTTTTGATGTTTTGAAAATTGAGGTTTTGGCAACATAATATGTCTTTTGAGTTATAAGAAGAATGACGTTTTGGATAGTCTGTGAAAAGAATTGGAGTTTTGGTGTTTTTGAAAACTGAATTTTGAAGAACGTAAGGTGTCTCTTCAGATATAAGTAGAATGGGGTTTCAGATACATGTTAGACTGAGTTTTATACATAGAAAATGACAAAAAAAACTGCTTATGTTCAGTCGGTACCCAGTTTACCATATATGGGTACCCGAGTACCCTGGGATGAAAGTCGGCATAACTTCAAAAATTCATAACTTGAGTTTTGGACGTCTGATTTGAGTTTCATTCAAAGCGTTAGAAAGCTAACATGATGAACTTTGTTTTAAAAATGGTTC